TTCCACAGAAAAGTCTATCGAAAAACTGGAAGATGTGGCAGCCCTGAGCCAGCATTCCTGTAGGCTAACAATTGGCACCCAGGGGAGCCCACACCCTGGTGTTCCCCTCAGGCCTGACATGGCTCTGCTCCTGGGGTGCCCAGGCCCTGCAGCTTGAGGGGCCTTGGGTCCACCTGTGGAGGGGGTGTGAGGTGGGTTCCGCCCGGTTGTCACACAATCCAGCTATGTGTCCAGGCTCCTCTCTTGTGAGTGACGGGGCCCAAGCACCCTCTCCTGGTTAACAGCTCCAGGCTGCATGAAACAGGGAAGGGGTCTTGGGGCCTGCGCCAGCTCCCGATCTCTTCAGAGGACTGACAATGAAGAAGGGACAAAAGACCTGTGCTTGTGTCACTCGACGCCTCAGAGGCACTTAGGGAAACTGAGGCGGAGGAAGGGCACCGGGAAAACCGGCTTCCAGCTGTGGAGTCCACTCCGGGAAGCTGCACAGGCTCAGCGGCGGCCCCCGGAGGCCGTGGCGGGTCCTCAGCCCGGCGCCGCCTCCCGCCGGTCGTCCTCGGCCGTGCCCGCTCGGCCGCCCGCGCCCCCTCTTCGCCCCGCGCCCCGCCCGGCCGTCACCCGCGTCTCCCCGGCCCCACAGGCCCGGCCGCCCGCGCCGCTCACCCGTGAGGCCGCCGCCCTTGCCGTGGCCCCGGCGCCGCTGCAGCACGAAGAAGGGGTTGGCCCGCTCCGTCACCCACAGCGCGTTGGCCACCAGCACTTCCTCGGGGCCCAGCCACATCGCGGCGCCGCTCGCTCCGGGCCGAGGCCCGCGAGGCGGAAGCGTCCGCCACAGCCGCCGCCGCCGCCGCCGCCGCCTCCGGAGCCGAGCGAACGAGCGGGCGGGGCCGGGCGGCGCCCCCTGGCGGGCGCCGGAGCTCACAGAACGCGGCCCGGGCGGCCGGCGCGCGCAGCCTCTCCCCGCCCCTCCGCGCCCCTCTGGCTCCGGGCCTCCGCGTCTCTGAGGCGCGGTCCAGCCCCGGGCACGGGCCGCTGACCGGAACGGCTGTCCCCAGACCAGGGGAACCGGTTGTGCAGACAGTCGGGCCTATGAGAGTTTGAGGAGAAATTGTAAAGAAATCGCGTTTCGAGATGTATTTTTGTCCGTGCGTGCGGACATCTGGGGAGGGATAAGAGTTGGCGATAATCCTCGCGCTAAGACTGGAAGGATCTTCAGAGCCAGTGACAGGTTGTCAGGAAGCCCCATGGTAGGCAGGGTCCTCGTCCGACACAAGGGAGACCAGGGTTGAGCCTATCTCCAGCTGTCTCGCTGCCCTTCGGGCTGGGGTCTGGCCTCGGCCGGGGAGGTTCCTGCGCAGGCGCGGGTCGCGCCGCAGGCCCTGCTGGGCTCGGGGTTCCTGCGCTGCCAGTGTTGGCCTGTAGGGGGCAGAATCCAAGCACCGAGCTTCCCGTCCCTGCCCCCGGGGGCTCAGGCGGCTGTGTTCAGGAAGCAAAACAAACGTGACCGCGGGGACTCGGCTATGGAGAATGAAAGGAGGCTGTGAGCTCCCTCTGGGACAACAGCTGTGAGTCTATATTGTCCCACCGACGTCTCTCAGGGGGACGGAGAGAAGGGGACACCTTAGGCTCACCCTGGGAGGTGTGAGCTGTTTGGAGGTGGGATTCTGTCATTGGCATCCGGGAATCTCAGTGTGAGGGATGCAGTTCTCTGACATGTTGCTGGAGACTGCTTCAGCTTTCCAGACTCAGGAGCTGGTTTGCTTTAACACCTTGGAGGCTTACACTGATCACTCATCGTGCCGGCTAAAGAGAAATCTTCCCTCAAGAATTTGAAGTGCAGGAGCTGGTGTTTGGCACCGCAGTTAGAACTGCTGCCCGAGACACCTGAATCCCATATCCTAGTGCCTGGGTTCCATTCCAACTCCACTCTCCATTCCAGCTTCCTGCTAATGCACAGCATGGGTCGCAGCCGGTCATGGCTTAAGTACCTGGGTCGCCGCCACTGGCATGGGAGACCAGGGTTGAGATCTTGGCTCTTACGCTCTAGTTTGGCCCAGCCTAGCCCCAGCTGTCACAGGCATTTTGGGAGGCAAACAACTCATGGGAGATGTATCTGCTTGCTCTCTTTCAAATAAAAAAATAATTTTTAAAAAGAATTTGAAGTACTATCACTGGGGGGTTGTTTCCAAGACCCCCACCCCCCACATTTCCCGAAGCTCAAGTCCCTTATGTAAGATGCTGCTGGGGCAGGTGCTGTGGCATAGCGGGTAAAACCGCCGCCTGCAGTGCCGGCATCCCATATGGACGCCGGTTTGAGTCCTGGCTGCTCCACTTCCAATCCAGCTCTCTGCTATGGCCTGGCAAAGCAGTAGAAGTGCTTGGACCCTGCACCCAGGTGGGAGACCCAGAAGAAATTCCTGGCTCCTGGCTTTGGATCGGCACAGCTCTGGCTGTTGCAGCCAACTGGGGAGTGAACAAGCGGATGAAAGACCTCTCTCTCTTTCTCTACCTCTCCTCCTCTGTGTATTTTGTCTTTCAAATAAAATAAATCTTTAAAAAATAAAAAAATAGGCCGGCGCTGTGGCTTACTAAGCTAATCCTCCGCCTTGCGGCGCTGGCACACCAGGTTCTAGTCCCGGTCGGGGCACCGGATTCTGTCCCGATTGCCCCTCTTCCAGGCCAGCTCTCTGCTGTGGCCAGGGAGTGCAGTGGAGGATGGCCCAAGTCCTTGGGCCCTGCACCCCATGGGAGACCAGGATAAGTACCTGGCTCCTGCCATCGGATCAGTGTGGTGCGCCGGCCGCAGCGCGCCTGCCGCAGCTGCCATTGGAGGGTGACCCAACGGCAAAGGAAGATCTTTCTGTCTCTCTCTCTCACTGTCCATTCTGCCTGTCAAAAAATTTAAAAAAATAAAATAAAATGCTGTTCTACAGGGTACTTCAGAGTGTTCATGGAAAAATGGAAATTAAAAATGAGTTTCTTTTGGTGCAAAGGAATTTTTGGTGTAATTGTTTTCCATAACACATGCAAAACATGTATTGCAATAAATCTATGTATAGATTAAAAATTTTTTTGTACCAAATTCATTCTTTTATTCCAAACTTTTTGAAGTAGCTTTGTGCTTACATTTAAAAAAAATTATTCTATTTATTTGAAAGTTATAGAGAGGTTGAAACAGAGAGAGAGGTCTTCCATCCACTGCTTTATTCCCCAAATATCTTCAGTGGCTGGAGCTGAGTCTATCTGAAGCTAGGAGCCAGGAGCTTCTTCCAGGTCTCCCATGTGGGTGCAGGGGCTAAAGGGCTTGGGCCATCCTCCACTGTTTTCCCAGGCACACAGCAAGGAGCTGGATCAGAAATGGGGCAGTCAGGAGACGAACCAGCATTCATATGGGATGCCAGCACTGCAGGCAGTGGCCCCACCCGCTGTGCCACAACACCAGCCCCAGATTTGCCTATTTTTTCCCTTAAGATTTGTTTATTTATTTGAAAGTCAGAGTTACACAGAGCAAGAAGGGGAGACACACACACACACACACACAAAGAGAGAGAGAGAGAGAGAGAGAGAGAGAGAGAGAGAGAGAGGTCTTCCATCCACTGGTTCACTCTCCAGATGGCCGCAATGGCCAGAGTTGCATCAATCCAAAGCCAGGAGTTTCCTCCAGGTCTCCCATGTGGGTGCAGGGGCCCAAGAGTCTACTGTGTTCCCAGGCCATAGCAGAGAGCTGGATTGGAAATGGAGCAGCCGGGACTTGAACTGCTGCCCATATGGGATGCTGGCACTGCAGGTGGAGGCTTTATCTGCTAAGCCACAGTGCTGGCCTCTGGATTTGCCTGTTCTTTCACATAAACATATCATAAAATATTTAGCCTTTTGTGTGTAGCATCTTTCACATGCCGTAACGCATTCAAGATTCGCCCACGTTCCAGTGTGTGGGCTTTTGCATGGGTGTGGTTGAATAATCTTCCATGGTGTGGATGTGTTGCATTTTGTTGATTCATTCATCAGGTTTCCCTTTGGGGCAGTTATGAGAATGTTACCATGAACATCTGTGCAAAAAATTTCATGTGGACATGTTTTGAATTCTCTTGGGTATATTCCTAGGTGTGGTATTATTGGGATATGTGATAAGGCGCTGTGTTTAAATTTTTGGGCAACCACTGTTCTCCAAAGTCTGTGCCACTTCACATTTCCATAAGCAATGCATGAGAGCTTCTACAGGTCTCATCAACACTTGCTGTTGTCCCTCTCTTCTGTTACAACCATTTCTAGAGGGTGTGGAGTGCTATTTCACTGTGGTTTGGATTTGCATTTCTGTAATGACTATGAGTGTGGAGCATATTTCCTGCTCTTGGTGTCCTTGGTTATTTGTCTAGTTTCTTTTTATATGGTCCCCATTTCTGAGACAGTGAGACTGAATCCAGATGGGTGGAATGACTTTCCAAGCTCACACTGGTAGCACCTGGCCCAGGTAGCACCAACATCCAGACCTTTCTGTCTCCAACTCTCTCTATACACACCAGAAATTTGCTGCTTTGCCTCTAACATTCACTTCTCCTTTCTGGGCACCATCATGATTTTGCTGTGGGAATTGGGCCTTAGAGCCTTTGGCTCTTGTCTTTCAGGTGAAGCCAAACACAGTGCAGGCTGCAAAAGCGGGGCCCTGCCTAAGGACACAGCCGATCACAGTGGCTACTTTGCTGATGGTGGTGGTAAGGCTCCAACAAGCCAACCAGGGCCAGTGAGATGCCGTTCTAGTCTGGGCCACCAGCTCTGTGCTAAGGAGGCCACTGGCACCCAGGGCCTTCCCCAGGGGAAGCAAAGCTGGCCAATGTGTCCTTGTGTCAGTGTTGAGGGCCCCATCATGCCCCTTCTCACCCACGTGTACCCCAGGGCAAGTTAGCTTTGAGGAGTCACTACATTTCCTCTTGCACTTGTAACCATTAGGGTTCTCCCTGATATGCATTCCCACTAGTGGTTAAAACACATTGTGTGGCCAAAGCAGCATTTTCAATAGGTTTTTATTGAAATGGTTATATTAGCAAATTCCACACATACAGGTGTACACTATTGGCATATAGGAATATACCAGACAATTTCACTACTTAGTTATACTTACATGAGTCACATGGACCCGGGAGTTGTGCCGCCCAGAACATTTCAAAGGTCTGATGAGATCTGATTGTAAAGAAATCAGCTCACCTTTTACTTGCAGGTGTATGTGTTCTAGACAAGGTAATTCCCCTACAGTGAGCCCCCGGACTGAGCTCACAGTCAGTTTTGCTTCTTGAATATTGGATGGGTGTGGTTTCTGGCACAAGCTATCCAATGGTGATTTAAAACTCAAGTGCATAGTTTCCCTTTTGTCCATCAAGGTGGAAGGTAAGTCGCCTGCCACATTTAAGTATGTCCCAAGCCTCCCCCACCCCCAGTGACCTGTGCTGTAGTTAGAAAAATAGTTCTGTATGCCATCCTCTGAGATGTTGTGCATAGTTAGCAGGAACCCAGAGTAAGAGGGGCTCTGAATGACCCAACTATGAAAACTTTAATGTGTTATGAGTATAAAAGCTATTGAGGGCCGAAAACAATTATGTGGCTTAGAGTTTGTACCAATTCCTTCTCTTGTATAGGAATAAGATATTTTCATTAGGTGAAGGTGTTTTCCGTACACCAAACATCAGTTCCTACTTTGGAGTTTTTTCCTGTATATATCATCACACGGTCAAGTTTCCTCAGGCAGAGCTGTTGCCACTGTGAAGTGGAGTCTGTTCCTAGGCACCAGGAGCAGGGCCTCTCTTCCAGGTGGGTCAGCACGGCAGGCTGCCAGGGAGGATGCAGGGAGACAGCACTCTCTCTGCTCCCTCCAGGATGGCAGTGTCAAGCCAGAGCACCCTGCAGTGGTGCTGGGACTGTGACCTGTGAGCTGCTGCAAGAACAGCTTGCTTGCCTGAAGGGAAAGTTGGTCTACATGACCACCCTCCCACACCACACTTCTGAACACACACCTTGGTGATTTAGCATCTTCCAGTCATGAGGGAAGTCCTTTACTATCACATAGTATAAGCATGTTTGGATGAAGGAGAAATCCCCAAGCAAATTAGAATTCACTTTATGTTAGGTTGAAGTGGTCAGAAGAGTTCAGAAGGATTATCGGTAATCTCGAGGGTTGCCAGAGGGATGTGGATAAGGACGGTGACTGACGCTCCTCCCCGTGAGCTCGTGCCTTCCCAGTGGGTGGGGGCGAGCACAAAGGGTCCCCTGCAGCTAGGAGAAGCCTGCTCAGGGTGTCCTCGGTTCTGTCAGCTCTCGGCTTTGCACAGGAGGGTGCATGGAGACGCTTACTGCTGAGCCAGGCCACCAGTGACGTTCCCCCAGGACTTCTGCTTTGGAGAAAAGCACTTGCCTTCGGGCTGCCACTGTCTCTGTTTCTGTCGTTTGCGGTCGTGTGTGTGGGGAGAGCCAACAGGAGGATGAGGACTGCCAGCAGCGCTCTGACCCGTGGGGGAGTTTATACTCAAGTTGCAGAAAGGTCTTTTTTTTTTTTTTTGGCCTGTTTGTCATAAGGTATCTTCTTTCTTTCCCGAGTCAGAGTGAAGAAAACAGAAAAACTGGCTTGCCTCCTCACTTGGCCTCAAGAAGTCAGTGTGGCCTGGGGGCAGGGAGACCCATGAGGAGGGGCTGGCTGGTTGGGGCTGGTGGGCCTCTGTGGACCCCTCCAGAAGGGGCCGCATCCTTCCCACCTCCTTTCTACCACCAAACCCTTGTCGAGAGCCACAACTGCATCTCCATGCCTCCCTCCGAGGTCTTGCCAGCCCCATACCTGATGTGTTCTCACAAGACTCTCCCTGGGTGCCCCCAACACCCACACCATCACAGACGCACACACCTGTGTTTACGCTTCGACCTCTTGGCTCCCTCCTTTGCCAACGCTCAGGCAGCATCCTGGCTGGGGTCTAACTGTGAGGTGTCTCTTCCTTGCCCTAAGACAGGCCCTAGGACCCGAGGCCACAGTAGTGCCACTTGTCCCTTGCAAACCCCCCAACCCCAGCCCTTAGCCCTTGTGGGGCTCCTGCTCTCCTCAGCCCTCTCTTGACCTCTTTGCAGCTGTGGTGCTGTCCCTCTTCCTCCTCCTCTTCCTCCTCTGTCAATGTCACTCTCATTTCATCGCTCGCAGCCTCCCAGTTGGCTGGTTATGTGCCAGTTTTCTAGAACCACTGTTGCTCACAGCATCGCCATTAACTCCATGTTTAGCACAGTGAGAGCTTAATACAGGTCTGCTGATAAAACTGGACTTCCTCCAGTCCTAAGTCTACTTGTCTGGAGGCAGTGTTTCTGCTTCGTGACTCTGATGAACAGCAACAGCTGGCCAGGGTGACTCCCGACACTGACTTCAACTCCTAGTTTTCCTGTAGAGTAGCCACTGCCTTAACGGCAGAGGCTAATAGCAGGAGACTTCAGTTAAAGCCAGCGTCATTCCGCAGGTAGCTCAAGGCCAGCAGTGGACGTGAGGGGTAATACAAATACCAGAAGGGCTTATGAAGCCACAGGAAATGTAACCTGGGGAAAGTTCGGGATCTTCTTAGTGCATTTCTGATTGCATTTTCTGGAAGCTGGGCTGTTGGTGCATCCAGGGCCGTGTCAAATGCAGACTCAGCCATGCATGGGCCACACCTGTGCTCAGGGAGGCGCCTCATGAACATCCCTTCAGGGACATCTGCTGGGCCTGACCCCAGGGGGCTGTGAGACTACGGCTCTGGCTCTGGCTCCAGCTCCTGCAACCTCCCCAGGAGGTTCTAGTTGCTTGGGGAAGGAGCGAGCCTGGTGGCCCTGGAGGGACACACTCAGAACCACCACTGTCACTGCTGGTGACTTCCAGCTCAGCCCTCCAGGGGGCCACCCTGACTGTTGTCTGGCCAGTCCCTACTTCCCTGTCCCTGGAGTCACAGGGAAGGAGGGCTACGGGCAGTTCCCCCCAGGATGGTAAACATCACCAAAGCATAAGCTCCAGACCCACTCTGAGAGTATCCTGTGACACCTGCCAACGGTTCTGAGCCAGCTCTGCCTGGGGAACAGGTTGAGGGTGGAACAGGAGGACAAGGCTTTGGACAGGCCCAGCTCAGAGCAGCCAGCAGAGACATGCATGGTATAGGGTGTAAACAGACTCCACGGCCCCTTCTGAAGCAGAGCTCCTCAACCCACCCCCAAGAAAATGATCAGAGATGATCACACGTCCCTTGGTGGGTACTACTGGCGCTAAGTCCTGCAACATTTGAACACTCCCCCTGGGTCAGCTGGCCCCTCCACACCCCTGCCCCGGAGCCTGGATTTCCCCTTAGCCTCTGGGGTAAGAAACGTCATCTTCTCTGAGAGCCTTGAGAGAAGTCAGTGTCCCTCCTGACAAAGACACTCTGCAATGGAGCTGGAAGGCAGGACCAACGGGACCAGTGTTCAGGAAACAGGAGTGGGGCTGGGATCGGGAGCACTACCCCGAGTAAGCGTCTGCATAGACAATGCCTCCTCAGTGATTCCTCAGTGACTGTTTTCCCCAGTTTCCCAGAAATTCAAATAACTATATCAATAGACTTTTGGGGCTTGGATTTTAAGAATTTCTTCTCAAGTAATTTCATTCATTTTCAGTAAAGAAAATTCCTTGAGTGGAACTGAACGGGTATGTCTTTGCAGGACTGTGCAAATCATAAGAAAATGTTACGCTGGATGTGAGTTTGGGTTCGAGAAGATGAGGTGGTGGTATGGGCGACATGGCAACCGTTGGAACTGAGTTCTCTCATCTGTCGGATGAGCCGAACCAAACACAAATGCAGGTGCCCATCTATACCACGGACGCACCCAGGATGAGTTCTCTCGCTGCGAGCCTGGTGGGCAAGACCCTGTCTTTCTGAACGATGCCCTCTTGAAATTGTTTATCAAAAATATTTTTATAGTACAAAGACTATAAAAAGGAAACAAACAAAAGCCCTTGATGAAAGGTAAGAAGCCAAAGCCGCTAAGATCTTAAATTATTAAAAATCAAAACGCCGCTGCTCACCGTGCTGTGCTGTTCCTGATGGCTGTCGTTGCCCCGGTTCTCCGAGGGCTCTGGGTTTGGGTACACCTGTGTCTGAAGCACCTCTGAGACACAGGGCGAGAAGAAAATGCTGTACAAGAGGAGAAGCCACACACGAGTAGATGGCAACTGTTCATTTCAAACTTAGGGTCCAAAGAGTCAATACAAACACCAGGGCGGCGAGGTCCCGTATCCAGTTTGCTGCCAGAGATCTAACTGAGGCACACAGACACTCCAGGTTCCGTTCTCATAACAGTGTGCCGATGCCCTGGCCCTCTGCATGGCTCAGGCTGGCAAGGAGAAAAGAGACTGGACTATGGCGTGTCCTTTGCAAAAGACTTGTTTTTGGAACTTGCTCGTTGTGGTTCTATGCTGGGATCACTTGTAGGATACGTGTTTCTCACCATGGTAACCTGACGTTCTCCCAGGCACATAGGAAGAGCACATGCGTTCCAATGTCTGCCCCGCCAGCTGCAGCGACTCCTGGCTGCTGGCACACACACAGATGCCCAGGCTGCTGGGAAGGGGTTGGGCTGGACTGGATGAAGACCAGAGAGGGTGCTTATCGGGCATCGAGCAGCAGGGAGGGGGTTTGATCTTCTCAATGGAGCATTCAAAATTGTTCTGATGTGGATGGCCACTGCCCAGGCTCCTGAAATTAGTGTGCCCAGAGACTGCTGGGCTGGGCTCCTGGGTGCCACCTCCCCAAACACACACTTCCAAGGTGGCCAAGTTGATGAGTCCACAGGCTGCAGGGACAGTGGTAAATACTTGTCACCTTACGCCATGCTCAACACAGAGGCTGGAAAATGACAGGGCAGATGACCGCTTGGCCCCACGCATGTACCCCAGCGCCATGGCTGTGGTCTGGCGGCATCGAGGTGGCCAGAGTCTCACAAAGGGAGTTAGAGGCAGAGGACGACACAAAGCAGGTCAAGGGCAGCGACTTGCTCTTTGCGTGGGTACGAAGTTTCACAGGTGGTAGTGTGCATCGTCAGTGGGGATCACAAAAGGTGTTTTAAGAAACCCCAACTCCACCCTGGCACAGAATAGCAGGTTTGCAACACAACACTGAGCCCCGGCGCTGCCTCTTCTCTGCAAACAGCCAGCCCTGCCAGGCACCTATGATCAGCAGCTGGCTTTCTGAACCATGAGGCTGCCTCGGGCAATAATGCTGTCCTCAAAGCCTTACCTTGGGGGCGACTTTGCAATTTAACCTGAACCCCAACCTGTGCTTAGAAAGCGCTGCCATTCTTCCCAAACGGACGCTGACAGAAGAATACGAAATAAGAAAGGTGATCATAAATCAAATCACAAAAGAAGTGAACCCCCGACAGCCAGGGATTTAAAACTCAGGTTTTGTTCTCATCATAGACGTCCAAAGAAGGTTCGATTGTGGAGAATTCACTTTCATACACCAGGCTCCGAGGGGACAGGGAGTTTCGATGAAAGAAGTGAGCACCTGAAAAATGAACCAAAAGAACAGACTTCACTAGGTCATTGGGCCTGCGTTTCCCTCTCGGCTTGGGGCACACGCTGTGGACAGTCTTCACAGCATTCTACTTTCTCAGATAGCTCCTTCATCTCTGGTCCTTACCATGGGAGAGGGGAAAAGAATGTGTGTGGGCACTGCTCAGTGAGGCATGCCCTCCACACCTCAGGCCTCGTGTGCATCCCTAGGAGGGTACCCCCAGGAGCTGCCTGATGCTCCTCAGAGATGCCACAAGTCTGAGACTGCTTTCTGGGGATGCAGTCACCCTGCTAATATGTCTCGCAGTTTTTGTAAAGCTTACATGCGTGGTTAATAATGCCACCTGTCGTTAAGCAAAATCACCTCCAGTCCCTGCTTCTCAAGAGTCACATTTAGCTGATTCTCGTAGTGCTTATCTCCATGTCTGTATAATGCACTCTGCTGCTTCTTCCTAACTTTTCCAGTCTTGGCCTTTACTGAATTTCCACAAAGGAAGATGAGGATTGTTTTTCCTATCTCCACCCCTGTCACCCCATGTACCTTCCACTGACTCAATACAATTATAGGCTCTGGTTTAAAAATTCAGTGTTGACAGTATTTGTGCTACTCAGGCTGAAGGCTTACTTGAGTCTCCTTCACTGTACAATTGTGTTTTTGCAGCTTTACTGAGACTCAACTGATGTTGTAAAATGCAAACACTTAAAACGCACTGGTACTTTTGGTCATTCTAGTGAGAGTGCAGTGCTACATCATTGGGGTTTTATTTTGCATTTCCCTGGGGTGGGCCTTTATGCTGCTTGGGATGCTTGCATGAGTGCCTGGATTTGAGTCCTGGCTCCATTCCAGATTCCAGATTCCAGCTTCCTGCTAAAGCACACCCTGGGAGGAAGCAGGTGATGGCTCAAGTAGTTGGGTTTCTTCTTTTTTTTTATTATTTTATTTATTTATTTGAGAGGTAGAGTTACAGACAGCGAGAAAGGTCTTCCATCCGCTTGTTCACTCTCCAAATGGCTACAATGGCCGGAGCTGGTCTGATCCAAAGCCAGGAGCCAGGAGCCAGGAGCCTCCTCCAGGCTTCCCATACAGGTGCAGGGGGCCCAATGGGCCATCTTCAACAGTTTTTCCTGGCCATTAGTGGAGGCCACAGTGCTGGCCCTCTTTTCTTCTTCTTCGATTTATTTAGTTGGGGCTGGTGCTGTGGTGTAGTGGGTAAAGCTGCTGCCTGCAGTGCCAGCATCCAATATGGGCACTGGTTAGAGTCCCAGCTGCTCCACTTCTGATCTAGCACCCTGCTAATGTGCCTGGGAAAGCATCAGATGATGGCCTAAGTCCTTGGGCCCCTGTACTTATGTGGAAGACCTGGAAGAAGCTGCAGGCTCCTGGCTTTGGATTGGCCCAGCTCTGGCCATCACAGTCATTCAAGGAGTGAGCCAGCGGATGGAAGGCCTCTCTCTCTCTGCCTCTGCCTCTCTGTAACTCTGCCTTTCAAATAAAGGAACAAATGCTAAAAAAGGAATGATTTATTTATTTGAAATGAGAGTGACAAAGAGAGAGAGGAAAAGGGAGAGATTTTTCCATTTGTTGGTTCACTTCCCAAATGGCCACATGGTTAGGGCTGATCCAGGACAAAGCCAGGAGCCTGGAGCTCATTTCAGATCTCCCAGGTGGGTGCAGGGGCCCAAGGACTTGGGCCATCCTCTGCTGATTTTCCAGGCACATCAGCAGCGAGCTGGATCTGAAGCAGAGCAGCTGGGACTCGAACCGGTGCTCTGATATAGGATGTCAGCATTAAATTCAGCAGCTTAGCTCACTGCTCCACAATACTGGCCCCAAGTAGTTGGGTTTCTGCCACCCATGTGAAATACCCAGATCGAGGTCCTGACTTCTGGATTTGGCTTGGTCCAGCTCTGGCTGTTGCTCACATTTGGGGAGTGAAGCAGTAGATAGAGAACACCATCTGTCTTCCGAATAAATAAACAAACATTAAAAAATTGCATTTACCTCATGACTAATGAAGCTGTCCATCTTTTTGTGTGCTTATTAGTCAACTGTATAGCTTCTTTGGTGAAATGTTTTGTTCTCTCACCCATAGGAAAAATTGGGTTGTTTTTGTAATATTGAATGTAAGAGTTGTGTATATACATACACATAGGCACTGATAGCTTGCATATATTTTCTCATGGTCTCTGGTTTGCTTTTGCATTTTTGAGATGGTCTTTTGAAGAGTAAAAGTTTCATATCTGGATAAATTCCAAAGTTTACTGATTTTTTTCCTTCCATAGTTTGTGCTTTTTGTGTCAGGCCCGAGTTTGCTAAGATCACCTCTCATGTACTCACCTAGCAGGTTTACAGGTTTAGCTCTTGGAGGGTTCACCTCAAGTACATTTCTGAACATGGTGGGAAATACGTGTTGAAGTTCAATGCTTTTGCATAAGGACATGCAGTGGCTCCACTGTCAACCCTGAAAAGATGATCCCTTCCCCACTGAACTGCTATAGCACCATGGCTGAAACTCTGTTGATTGTATACTTGTGCGTCTCTTCCAGGATCCTACTCTGGTCCAGCAATCCATTTGTCTGTCTTTACAATAATACCACAGTTCTCCATGACTGTAGTTTTAGAAGTTTTGAAATGAGGTGTTGTAAGTTCTGCAACTTGGTTCTTTTTCAAATGGTACGATAGGCAGGGAGGAGAGGAAGGCGGTTACCAGGGTACAGAAAAGTAGGAAGTAAAAGCATTTCATGGGCTAGTGTATGAGTGTTGAGACCACTTTTATCTCCTTTAGCTTTCCTTTATTAAAAATTTCCTGTATTTAAAAAATTAGTATGGGGGCAGGCATGTGGTTTGGTGGTTAAGTTGCCACTTGGGAGTCAGCATTCCATACTGGACTGTCTGGCTCCTGTGCTGGCTTCTCCACTTCTGATCCAGCTCCTGCTATTGTGTGCCCTGGGAGGCAGGGGCTGATGGTTCAAGTACTTGGGTCCTGCCACCTATGTGGGAAACCTAGATGGAATTCCAGGCTCCTGGCCCAGTCCTGGCTGTTGATGCCATATGGGAAGTGAACCAACAGATGGAAGACCTCTCTCCCTTTGCCTGTCAAATAAAATTAAAATAAGTAAAAAAAAAATTTAAAGGAGCCATTTGCAAATACAAAGGGTAACTTCTTTAGCACATACCTTACAACATAAAAAATAAAAATAAAAAATTGGGATGAATCGGAGATGCTTGAGAGTAACTCCAAGTGAAATGCAGGTCGCCCGATCCCTCAGAGATCCCTCAGTGATTGCCTGATCCCTCAGAGGATCTGCACCTTCTGGCAGTGTCGACGTGGGAAAAACACAGGCAAAACCAGGGCGAGGCTGAGGGGCTGACTGCACAGCAGGGAGAACAAGAGCAGGCACCAGTGGAAATCAAGGCAGGAACCACTTGACACCACGTCTTTGGTGGTTAACAAATGGGCCAGGATTTAACGCAGTCATCTATGGCGGTTAGCTGGTTCACTTGAGAAGGGTGTAACACCAAGAGCATGCCCAGCAGCTGGATTTCAGAGAAGGCCTGATGCTGTCTGTGCCAAGGAAGCGCAGGGCATTTTCTGACGCCTGGAAATGTGCCCTGTTTCGTGATTCACTGACTGCTATTTTTTTGTTGTTGTTATTGGATGCATGATGTTAAGAAAACTCTAGAGACATATATGAGAACAAATCCTAAGTACCAGGCATTTAAAAAAGTTTGTGGAAAAATGGAAATTAAAAGGTAGGTTTATTTTGGTGCAAAAGTTTTTGAAATCCATACCATTTTCCCACAATATATATTTCACATGAAAGTTTGGGAGTACTCATGTAGATAGCTCAATGATTTTCCACAAAGAACCTTCCCAAGAGGTCATCATAGTCATCCCTGGATCAAGGAATGGGATACCCAGCAGCACCCCACATGTCCCTGCAGTCACCCCTAACCTCCTCCCCAGGAGACTACCATCCAGACTCCTCACACTGAATTTAGCTGTGTCTATTTGTAATATTACATAGTAGAAACAGTACACATTCTTCTGACAATATGATGTGACATTCATGCGTGTCCTCGGACACCACAGCAGTGTGTTCACTGTCACTGCTGCACGGCATTCCATTGTACGGCGACCACACACTTTTGTATTTCTAACATTTCACTGATGGACACTTGCCGTGCTTCCATTTGTGGCTATTACGAACCCTGCTCTTGGGAATATTTGTGTGTGTCACATGTGCATCAATTCTCTTGTGTGATGCTGAGGACTGGAATTTCTGGGTCTTAGGGCACATACTTTGAAAACTCCATGGGGAAATGGAATTAAAAGAGAAGTTTCTTTTGGTGCAGAGAAAGTTTGAAATTTATACATATGAGGAGTCTCCGAAAAAGTTTGTGGAAAATGCATTTTAGGAAAAAAATACATACAAAACTTGGCTTATCTAAGCCCAAACCTGGTAGTTACTTTGTCATTTTAGCGCTTTTGCTGATATACACATTACATATTTCATCATTGCTTCAATTTACATCCCTCTAATGACCATAAAGGGTGGGACACACCTCACATGTTTGCAGCCTACTTGTACATCTTGTTCATCCTGAAATGTCTGTCCATTTCTTCTGCTCATTTTCCCATGAGGTTGTCAGCATGAGGTTGTCAGTCATTTTCTTTATTCTTTTTTTAAAATAATATTTTTTGCATGTATTTTTTACTTATTTGAAAGGTGGCAGGGGAGGGAGAGTGCAAGGGGGAGGGAAAGAGAAAGGAAGGGAGAGGTATCTTCCATCTTCTGATTCACTCCCTAATGCCGGCACACAGCAGAAGCCAGGAGTTCAACACTCATTCTGGGTCTCCCACCCAAATACTTGAGCCATCACCCACCGCCTCCCAGAGTGCACATTAGCAGGAAGCAGAGATAGAGCTCAGACATTCCAGTATGGGGTATGGGTGTCTTAAATGCTGCACCAAACACCACCTCTTGTTA